GTGATAGTTATGACTATTACAGTAAGACCTGTAATGCAAAAGTAACTACTGTAAACCCATAAGCTCACTCAAAACATAATCTTTAGTTTGACATGGATTTAGAAGCCATAGATAATGATATTGAAACAAACGTATGCGCGGGTATTGATAGGCTGGTATCCAGTCATAACACCTGGAAATAAACTGATCGAATGGCTTATGGTGAATTTGTTTTTGACGTGTTACCACACCTCAGGAACGAATATTTAAAATTATTAACATTGGAACAGAAACTCAAACATGACCGATTCACAAAAGCTTCATGAATATCAAAATAAGGTTAATTGATGAAGATGAATATGATGAGCTTGAAGATATTGAAATGGCTGTAAGAAAAATATAAGATTTGTTGAATTGATCTCTGGATTGGAGTTTCGAGTAATAGTGATGTCCTCATCCGGTAATAAATGAAATGAAAATGTCAGTACTATGAATCTCTCATAAAAATGGCAAAATACAACAGAATAAACAATGTGAAATATGTATATTATTAGTACCTCATAAAATATAAATGAATAAGAATACACAAAAAACTAGGTTAAGTAACCAACAGAAAACATAACTATAATTACAGAAATATTATAATATATTTCTAGATTAAGTGTATGTAGGGCTAAATGTTTCTGGCTTAGGCAAAAGCCTTGTAAAGTTGGGCCCTGGAGTATGTGATGTGGGTGAAAGCTTAGTGACATCACCACGTGGTCAGTTTGTTTTTCTTCTATACTTTGGTAGTCACTGCTTACGCCAAGTGCCTGACAACAAACAACAGGCTAGATATCTATACCAAAGTGCAATATATCACTTGGCAATATATCTTTTAACTAAACTAATCTGATATCATGGAGGAGGCTCTCCTAATTCAAGGTGCATTAAATCCAATGCATCCGGGAAGACTCTCCAATGAATCATCAGTTGTACCTGAAGAAATAGGGATATCGCAATTTGAGCTTGCCAAACTAACCTAATGTGCGAGGGTTAAGGCTTTCTAGCGCCTGTTTTAACAATATGGTCATATGGAAATTTATAGGCACTGCATCTGGTGACTTGACCTTATGTCTTTCTATAAAATAACATGAATACCCGTTAGCTGTATGAGGTATGCAACAATTGAACGGGAGGTATGACTGAAAGTCTTATATTAGTTAACCCATAGCCTTTTGGCCTCGTTTCCAGATGGAGATCCTTCTTGATTATGTTGCATATCATTGCTTGAGACACATAGACAGCTTTTACTGATGATCTTTGAGTTCATGGATTCTAATCCGTTACTTTAATTTACACAGCTGGGGTATGACTTGTTGCAGGTCTGTTTCTGAATGGTCCTGGTACCCCAAGTTTATCCACCGTCCTTTGTTTTCCAATGCCATAAAATACAAGTGATATACTTGTCTTGGAAAATCTAAATTCTCCATCTATTTATATTCTTATTATCTGAGTGTTTGAATATTTTACGTCGGAAAAGGCTATTAGATATCTTCCCCAAAAGCGATTAATTATCGATGGCATCACCATGAAATCACAACCTACTGACATCTAATTTATACAAATATGGCCTTTCTCATGGTATAGAGGTGCCAGCAAGTTAGCTTGATAAAAAGCGTGGTTCACTTTGGCATTTGTGCAGCTCCCCAAATGTAATAAATTGCTAAGAGTATTTTAGACACTTAATCAGACATGCATTTATTTCAATGAAACTCTATATGGTAATAGAAATAATTCTGGAGACACACAAGTGATAGATGCATATATAAAGGAGTCACAAACAACGAGTTCTAAGAGATAAGAACGTTATACTAATATGTAAATATTGAATATGTAAATCAGCAAGTTACAGCCGCTATAATGTCCTAGTGGAACGGTATGTATCAGAACCACATTTTGATATTATTTGGCTTTCGCACGTAGTAAACTAGAGCATCCAGCCACACTTTCTAAGTCAACGTGACAGTTCCTCCACAAGTAGCAAATACAAACGTGACTTTCTATGCCATTTACAGACAACTTGTATGGTTTTCTGTGCCTTTGGGTTGCTGAAACCGGCCCTTGGAAGTAGTCGTCCGTCGTCAGCTGACGGACTTTGGAAAGTAAAGCACTGATCTTAGCGTGTTGTGCAAACAATCCTCCTCTAGTGGAAATTGCACTTCAGAGCAATAATCCAGGAGTAAGGGTGGTCCAAAGCTAGTTGATTCACACTTAAATATCTTCCGATTACATTTTATCTGAAGCATCAAAGTGCATTTCTTCTTTGTAAATATTTTGGTTTTGCATATGTACTGTTCGTATATATATACTCTAACGTTAATCTGAAAGAGATTTAAAAAAAAAAACAATATACTACTCTGGAGACCTAACTTTCTGGTCATTCTATACATATCTATGGTCCTCTGGTGGGTCAGCGGGAAGCTTATTGACTTACAGCTCTAAATTACGAGGTTCGATTTCCCACGGTAGATAGAGCGCAGATAATCCATTGTGTAGCTTTGCGCTAAGATAAAATTAACAATATACCAATGTTTCCAAGGGAAACAAAGAAAAAACTGGTAAAGCAGATCAGCATTTTATTTTCAAAAATAATTCATACCATGATTGAATAGAGTTGTTTAAACAACTCTATTCAATTATGTACCAGCTGTCCAGTGTCGGCTAACAATACGAAGAATTAAATTGTGGCGGAATGCTACAAGTTTTTCAAATACCTATAGAATGACAGGTTTCTTTTTGTGAGTGTAAAACACTTAAATACACCATTTCGAATTCATACCATATATGCTATAGGTATTGTTATTATATTATATTTGGGCTTCACTGTAATGAAAAAAAATGGCCCATTTGCGCTTGTATAGAGTGTAACTTTAGTTGATTTTCTTTTAGTGCCACACATGAGCATGACAGGTACTGCTACCTTCGGTGTAAGTGGCTTTTTTTTGCCCTTACGTTTACAGAACATTCTTGTTTGTCTCTTACTCATCAACGATACCTCTAATTGGATTTTTGATTAAAACTTTTTCCGTGATGATCCTGATCTGATGGTTCCCCATTCGAAGTAAAACTTAGGGACGATCGTTATTAAATTCTTTCCTCCTTCTTCTCTCCCTTTAACCTAGCAACTCATTTTTTTACCATCATAATTTCTGACATTAATAGAAATTATGAGGATAAATTAATTAGGCATGTTGACCATTCCGAAACTATAAAAATTTTAGATTTCAAAACCTGTAATTTAAATTAACGGTTTTAACACTGTAAGGTTGCGAAAAAAGTGGAAACCAACAGATATAAAATATCCATGCTAGAATGCAGATGTTAATTTTGCCCATTACGGGATTGGAATCAGAGGTGTGTAAAAGTAACATTTCATCCTCCACAAATCACTGACAAGTAGGCTTATCTTTCAATCCCAAGACTCGTCAGCTAGCTGAGCGATGAAAAAAAAAAGTTTATCTCAAGCGCTATCTATATAAGGAAATAAGAATAATATCTATGACAAAAATCTTTTTGACCACAGATATGTGTATATATGTTTCATGTTCCTCTTAACTTGTCTTTCATCTTTTACAGAATTCAAATCAGAATTGAAAAAAAGAACAGGATTTTAGATCGATCTCTTACATTTCGCAAGCCGCTGCCCAGAAGGCTTCATGTTCAATATCAGAACTCGTCAGATCAGAGACGAATTAAGAAGGCTGCGGAAAAGCAATGTAGATCCTAATGTGATTTTCATTATAAATATTACGCCCATTGTTTTCCAATGCTTCGCTCTGACTTTTGATGTTCAAACAGTAATTTCATAATTCTTGTACTACAAATATAAATCGAGTTTCAGGTAAACTTCTGTGTATAATCCTCCCGTCGAGCTGATAAGTTCATGTATTGAAGAAGAACCTTCTTGGGAAGTAACTTGTGAGAGACTAAAATATAGATTTGAAAGACTATGGATTTGAGTTCCATAATAAATGAATATATTATGAAGAATATGAAAAACTGCTACAATCTAATGGGATTTTGTTCTCAAATATTAGAGCTATAATTTAAATATATTTTCTCGTTCTCTTATACAGTTTTTTTCTATTATGTTTTATCATAAGTGTTTCTAGAAAACATTTAAGTTTTAATATATTTTTCCTTTTCCTTCTTCTCTTGGAATTTTATCTTTATTTATTTATTTTGCATTTCATCATTAGTTCCTTATACATTTTTCAAGTTGTGAAGTTTTACCGCTTTGATGTTTTCATTTTTAAAAAAACCAGCAAAGTTTAAAGTATCTCGTCTCCGTGTTTGTTGTCGTCAAACATGATCCTCATCTAAAATCATAAATACTATTCAACGTTAAACTGGTACACAATTAAAAATATTTTATTTAGGTCTATCTATGGCCTTCAAAAGGTTGACAACTTTACATGTTTCGACGTTACAACGTCATCCTCAAAAAACGTTGTACCGTAGAAACATGTAGAGTCATCAACTTTTTGAAGGCCCATAGATAGGGCTAAATAAAATGTTTTTAATTGTGTACCAGTTTAATGTTGAATATTATTTATGATTTTAACTTTATACACAAGTGCCAAAATACTATAATTATTCCCATGTTGTTTTCTTTATCATTATCAATATAATTCCAAAATTTCATCCTACATTGAATATGTAATTAACATTCTCTCTGCATCTTACTTTAATAATTGTCTGCTTGTTCAAGAGTACTGTCCTTATTTGTATTTCATTCGTCACTTTTCACTTTAACTCCTTAGCCCTGATAAGTTAATACATGCTCACTATATAATACTGAACCTGTAAGCATTATTTGAAGTACCTCATGAAACAGTGATGAACATAAAAGGATAATATTCATACACATGAATTACAAGTAAAATTTCATTTTTATAACCACATACAATTTATAATATTCAACATTATTTGAGTATCAGCACGAGTACAGTAACATTTAAATAACAACAAAAACTTACAATCCTCCTTCCAACTTGCTTTTTATTGTGCTGAAATCCATTGGTTGTTTGATGATTTTCTTGTAGGTTGGAAACTGCTTGGTTTTGACTGGAAAAAGGAAAGGCCAGGAGTCCTCATGCTTTTTAAGCTCATCCAACAAGGTTCTGAAAGTGCACAATACATACAGATTAATTTACATTTAACAAAATTGTTGTGCATTACCAATACATTATAGAAAAAAACAAGAATCTGAGCAACAGGTCACAGTTTTTAACACATAGTGGAAAAACAAGAATCTGAACAACAGGTCACAGTTTTTAACACATAGTGGAAAAACAAGAATCTGAAAAACAGGTCACAGTTTTTAACACATAGCGGAAAAACAAGAATCTGAAAAACAGGTCACAGTTTTTAACACATAGCGGAAAAACAAGAATCTGAAAAACAGGTCACAGTTTTTAACACACAGTGGAAAAACAAGAATCTGAAAAACAGGTCACAGTTTTTAACACATAGTGGAAAAGCAAGAATCTGAAAAATAGGTCACAGTTTTTAACACTAGTAAAAACTGATTTTATTGCTCACCTTTCTGGAGTGAACTCATTGTCAAGAGGTTTAGACTAGTAAAAACTGATTGTATCCCCACCTTGCTGGAGTAAACTCGTTGTCAAGAGGTTTAGACTAGTAAAAACTGATTTTATCACTCACCTTGCTGGAGTAAACTCGTTGTCAAGAGGTTTAGACTATTAAAAACTGATTTTATCGCTCACCTTGCTGGAGTAAACTCGTTGTCAAGAGGTTTAGACTAGTAAAAACTGATTTTATCGCTCACCTTGCTGGAGTAAACTCATTGTCAAGATTTTTAGACTTCTCCTTTTTTTCACTTGACTTTGATTTACTACTTGGATTATTTTCTGACTTTTTACTTGGTGCAGCTTCTTTCTCCTTTTCCTTTGTTGTTTCTTTATCCTTTTCCTTATCCTTTTCTTTTTCCTTCTCTTTTGACGCATTTTTGTGCTTATTGCTCTTCTTTGGCTGTGACTATCGATATGGAAGTGAAATGTAGTTTATACACGTTATCATGAAATGTTAGAGCTTTTCTGCTTAATTATTATGAATTATCACTGTTAAAAACAACTCATAGCATTTATATATACCTCTTCTTTTTCAAGTTCAATTATTTCAGCTTAAGCAGACAAACACACACTGAACATTACAACAAATATACACTGAGAAACATACAATTTATAATAATCAAAATGTATATGAATAAATGAGTTAGTAACAAGGAAATACAAGATACGAAAACATTTGAAAGAAAAGGACCATAACTTTTGTTTTTGTCTGCTGGATAAGAACAATTTCATCTTAACAAGATCCACATTGGTCATAAATGACACATTACTTACCTGCTACAAGAACATTGCATTAAGAATTTCATTAAGTTACTTTCTATTTTTTTTTCTCCATAACAAGCATCACAACAACTGAAGAGCCGTACTAAGTTTTATATTATAGATAACAGTTTAGATATTAAGAAACAGAAAACAAGTGGCATAACAAGAAAGCATAATGAAATTTGAAAACAGATGTCAAAATAAAGTGTCTTCTTTGAGTGGCACAAGTACGATGAAAACTTTTTTTTTCTACTTTAAATGCCGCAATGACAACAACATTTTTGAAATGAAAGAAGTGAAGAAAACTTAAGTTTTACATTTATTAAGAGCACACTAACACCGAAGAATTACAAATTTCATCGAAACTTTTATGGATAAAAAAAATCACTATTTAATGTTTATTTGGTTGAAAATTTTACTTGATGAAGATGTTTTCAAAATTAATTAAAACTTACCTGAACTTTACAGCTTACACAGCACCATTTTCCTTTTGGTGGTCTAAAAGTTAAAAGTGGGAAAAAAAAGAAAGGATATACATATATATATATATATATACACACACACAAACACATACATACATAAATCTTGTATTACTTGGTCATCATACAGCTAAAGAAAGTTCTGCACCAAGAAACCTATGTAAATATAATAGTACTGTCTGTTGTATTTCCGTGTAACTACTTTGACCCCTGTGAACTGATATAGAGGTTCATTGGTTCCATGTGGAGGTATATACAAATTTTATTTGGCAGTTTTTATGGGTGTTTTTGCATTTTTCACCAATACTTTGCCCCCATATTGATGGATCTTCACCAAATTTGGCACAAAGGTTTGTTGGGTCCATGTGGAGATACATGCAAATTTTGGTTTCATATTTTGTTTTGCAGTTTTTCTTGTCATTTTTTACAATTACATATAAGGGAAACAACTTTTCATGTCCTAAGACAACCTATCATTAATCATGAAGTTACATAACTTACATCCAGGGGATAGGTAGTCCAGCTAGTAAATAAATAAATAAAGAAAAACAGCAAAGCTATACAAAAGTCTATTAAATACCATTATTAAATTAGGATGCTGTGAAGATGTTATTTTTTTAATTTATTAGCAGTAAAATGCTGTCACTTCAACATGGTGAAAGGCTCTTAATTATATCTAAAATTATTGAACATGGTTTACACCTACCTTGACAAAGGAGGATCTAAGCAGTTGATGTGGTAAGTCTTGGGACACAGGTCGCAGTTAATCAACTTACCCTTCTTACCACACAATACACAAACCTTATCACCTGTAGCCTGGAGGGAATAAACAAAATCATATTGAACAAAATACACTATATAAAACAAAATACATACTTCTGGTACTTAACCATAATGATCAACTGAAGCCTTGCCGTGCCTAGTAATACATGATTACATACAAAATATGACACTCAGACAAAAGAATACACTTTTTCTTGCTTCTACCTGTAAATTAAGAACTATAAAATAAGATGCTTATATATGAAGATAATTAAAATAATAATAGTAACCTCACACATACACATGGAAAATAAAGCAAAAATGTGAAACATTAAAAAGACATGGTAAACAGTTTGTGGTTTTTAGACCAAGTTTCTAGTTTGTTTCAAGTACATATTTATTCAAAAACTATTCTTATGCAAGTTTATTAACCTTTGAATTACTAACTGGTTTTTATATTATTTGCTCATAGTGGGGGTACACTTGCTACACCATATTGAATAATTTAATGTTTTTGCTGACCAAAATAAATTGGGTTAAAGCACTCATTTTCTAAGCAAAATACAGAGATAACTCCAGTAGTAATTTTGGGATTAATTGAAATATTGATGTGTTGTTAGTTGTATTTTACTAGGATATTTTATTAGGGACCCATGTTAACAAGAACGTCTGGACCCACAAGCAATTTGATGCATAAATAGCTTAGAAAAGTATGTGAAAAACAGATCAGCTCCTTCTTCATTTTTCTTTATGCTAATTCTATGGTCATGCTTTGTGTTTAATAAAGTTGAAAGTATTATACCTTCAATAATACTCTTTCAAGTCAAAATAATAAAATCACATGTTACACTTAATGTAGTCAGGGGTCAATGGCATTCCCTACAAAACAAGCATTTTTCTGCCACAATATCAGTCAACAAAAATTAATTAAGCATTTTTAGATTTTGAAAACTGATTTTATTTAGCAGCCCTAAAGCTCATATTTGTTATTTTTACAATACAGAACTTGAATGAAAATACAAAATGTTTTAATATTTAATACTAGCCATGACCCACAAAACATTCACAGGTAATTTTTATGCCCTTCACTTGAATTTTCCTTATTCTATCATTTTCATGCACACCATTTAAGATACATTTTCTTGCAGGCATTATGTGTTAGATTGATAAATCCTGAACTATTTGAAAATATTTTATGAAACAGATACAAGCATTCAGCATACGACACAGTTTTACGAGATCAAAATAAGAAACTCACAAAAACGAAGAATAAAATCCACAGTAAAGAAAATTGTAGCTAAAAGGTGTTTATAGCAGTCTATGAAATGAAATGAAGCTAAATTATTACAAAGTAAAATAAATGTAAAGCTGTAATGAAGGCAAACTTAGCTGAATATGCAAAAACGCCTGAATGCATGTTCACAAAGTGATAAGCATATGGTTGTAAATGAACTGTGCACGTGTATTTTAGACCTACATAAGTTGAGAAAGCCCATAGCAATTACATTTAGTGTAATGTTAATTACTGGAAATTACCTGTGAAGTGTGTTTTGTGGTAAGGGGGATGTATACAAACCTTGGACCCTCTGATTCACGGTCCAGTATTCTAACCACTAGGATTACAGCCACAGCCAGCTTATTTACCTTTGCCCAGTGAGTATTACTTTCTAGCAACTTAATTAAGGTACCAATGATTTTTGTATACTTCAAACTTGTTCATGCCTTCTTGTACATTTTAGAAACTGGTTGATCATAAGAGCTCATTTTAAATGTCTTCAGACTGACTTCTAGGCAGTACTATACACTTGTTTTAGCACCTTTCAGACCAATCTCTAGGCAACAATATACATTTGTTTTAAAAGACTTCAGATTGACCTCTAAGCAGTACTGTGCACTTGTTTTTGAAGATTTGACCGACTGACCTATAAGACTTTATTATACATTGTGTTTTAAATGTATGTATGATAATAAACAACAGGTATGCTTACCTTATTCAAACATTCATAGCAATACCAGTCCCCATCAGGTATTGTCTCCATTTTAGGCTACACAGAAGAAAATAGAAGATAATGAATGCTAATATAAATAACACAACTGTATTAGCTTATGAAAGTAATAGAACATGCTGGAATGATACACGGCTTCAGGCTACCAGAAAGGTTTCAGAAAAATCAAATGTAATACAAAGTTAATTTCTTAAATACATATTTATTCTATGGTAATTTTACAGACAATTTGCTAGTAGATGGGGAAAAAAAAAGTTGGGTTAATTAAAATATGCTTTACTGAAAATATTAATGTAACACTGTATTTATATTTTGTTTGTTACTAGTCAGTGTCCCAACTTCATTCATTACATGTTTGGCTAAACAAAGAAGAAAATCAAAGAGAAATTATAGCTACAAGTCAATCCTGTGCTGGGACCAATTTCTTTTGTCAAATCACACTTACAATAATAAAAAAATTTGTACAATGCGCAGTTAAGTAATCTTGATGAAACTATAAAGATCAACAACTAATAATTGCCAAAGCAAACTTATCTTGGAGAAAAGTATGTGTAAATACTGTTGCAAATACATTTGGTTAGACACAAACACCATATGGCAGAAGCATGGCCAAAGGGAATTTCCATAATGAATTAATAAGCCTTTTGTCGAATTTTTGATACATACTGTTTATAAAAAAACTAGTATAAAAGCCCATCAAAAATGATGGGAAAGCATTGTTGAATGAATAACGAAAATTATAGAATTTAACTTAAACGAATTTGTCTGTACCTTCAAAATACACCTACCCTTCACTTATTTCATCAGTCTCAAAGTAATTCTTTAATCACCACATTTTTAGTACACACTACTCAGAAAAATGAAATGTTATCATGAACAATAGTATGAATGCACTCTGAAAGAGACTTAAATAGCACTCTTGAGCCTTTTCACTGTATTCTAGGGCAGGAAGAAGAAAACATAATGCAGACATTTCCGACACAAATTTTCAACTCTATTTTTGGCTATAAGATCAATAATATTTCACAAGTTTTCACCAGCTTATAAGGCATTTATGTTAGTTCTAAATCCACGTAATAAACTAACAATGCAAAATAATCTTTATATAGATAATAAAGATGAAAATTAATAATAAAAATATATATAGTTACCTTGAAACAGTAAGTGTGATAGCCTTTGTCACAACCATCACAAAGAAGTAACTTCTCTTCATTAGCTCCACTATGACAAAACTGGCAGCTCTATGAAAAATAGTAATAAATTTAAAAAAACTTTTTAATATAAATAATATGGAATAACACTCTAAACTAATCACTTAATTTTGTTACAATCTACTACACTTCAAAATATCATACTGTACTAAAAAACCAACAACCTGGAAACATATTAATCCAAAGGACATAATTTCAAAACTATGATACTTAGTGTAACATCTACAAGTATCTTTTTTTTCAATTTTGTCCTTCAAATTATTTTTTATAAGATGACTCCAGTGTTCTAACTACAGGTAATACACACAATAATTGGCAAAATATTTCAAATGAATTTCTTTTTTTGCTGTAATTGATAGTACTAGATTATATTGTTTATTGTTATTATTTTCTTATGAGTAATATTTTGCTTATGTTATATATTAAATAACAAGATTGTGGCTCGTAAATGCGATATACGCATGAAGAAACGTACGGCTCTCATGATGGATTTATCCCATGCCACACACGTCTCAAGCATGTTTAAACACATGGCCACCTGCTCTGCTGTCCAGCACTTCTGGATTGCAGCTCGCCAGCGAAGTAGTCCCCTTGGTAACTCCCCTTCTTCTGCATCTCCGTCTGATGCAGGATGCACAGCACTGTTGTTCAATGAAGACAAATTCAACTCAGTACTGCTGATAGAAGAAAATATAGAGGTTACTTTTTAAAAAATATGCGAGGCTTTTGCTTTATAAATATCTGATAATTCAGTAGCTTGAATGGCATTATTTTGGGGATTAAGGGCATGATAGATATTCTTGCTAACTTATGCTGATGGTCATTTACGACATTAAACTAACCATGTCCTGGCTATTTGCATAAGAAGCAGTGTATATTAATAACACCACATTTTAAATCGACACAGATGAGCGAATCTAGGTAAAATATAAAAGAATTAAATCTTACATCTGGGTTTTGGAGAGAGAGAGAAGAGTGGGAGATTAAATCAAATTGTGGGGGGGGGGGGGTAAATTTTCCCTTCAAGACATTTTTCAAGCAATTTTAATAAGTACCACTTCAGAATTCAAAATGAAGTTATATGAAGTTATATTTTTGGGGACTCAATATAAAATGTTATAAATACACGAGTCTTAAAAAGGTGACATAAAAGTGCTGAAATAAAGTTATTGCTACTATACAAACAAGCACAATGAAATGTTTATATTTTAAGTTTTATTTTTGATATTAGCGCCACTGAACTAAATTTCTGAAGGTAAGAACTGATTAAAATAATTATATATATATATATATATATAAATTATTAAGGATATTTCTTTGAAATACACAAGAAGATTGAAAGACAAACACAAATGATTTATTTCTCTCGACACTATCTTCCATCCTTATAGGTATTTCAAAACGTTTTTAAAGTAAAAGTCTGAGTTCATTGCCATTATTAATATTTCCTTTGCTCTTATATTATAGCACACATAAACCTAATAAAACAAAAAAATACTGTGTTCTGGAATCTCAATTAAAACCCAAATATATATATATATATATATTTAGGAGAAGCATGAAGTAAAAAATGTAAGTAGCATTTTTCTTTAAAACTGAATGTTTGATTTTATGAATAGCTTAACTTTGTTTGAACTGATGAGTGGCTGAGATATTTTGGATATGCACATTATTTTCCAATAACATTTATTCATTGAAAGAAAACAATTATTTGCCATGATTCTGTGTCACTCTCTTGGCTTTTGGGTGTATTGGAAATCAGACAAAGGTTAAAAAAAAAAAAGATACATGTTACAGTTAATGTTAACTAGTTTGTTAGCGAAATATACAACAAGCTTCCACAAAACAAAACCTTTTCTTTTAATACAGATGGTAACATAACCAGCCTTTCTATTCAAACACCAAACTCTATAAAACTAGAGTAAAAAGTGTGTTTTAACTTACGTTATTCCAAGAGGAGGCTTTATATAGCGTCTTTCTATGGCACTTTCAAGTAATAAAAGTCTTTCTTTAGCAATTTCTACTGGATTGACATACGGATCTTCTGAACCACTGTCAAGATTACTGGATGGTTTTTCTTCACCACTGGTTGGTTTTAATTTGCTTAATTCTTCTGTATTACTCACACTATCACTTTCACCCTTATTGTTAAAATCTTCTGATTTATTCTCTTCTATTGCACAGCTACTAATTTCTGCTTTGGTCTGTGTACTCTCACCAGTCTCTACGGAAACAGAATCACGCCCTTTGCTTTGGCGCTTAACTGATTTTTGTCGACGGAAGCTTAAACTATCTTGGTCCTTCTTTGGAAAAAGACAGGCTGCTTTGAACTTGATGTCTGAGTCATAGGTGAGTTTGGGAGGAATCGTCCATCCCTATTGGACAAAAATTTACAATTTACAACTTACTTTAATTCCCAAAAAATTCAGAAAAGTATGCGGTTGTCAAAGGGTTAAAAGCATTCACAGATCTTATGTTGTTTTTTTCACATATTTATGAATTACGCAGATGGTATTTAGTGTGAAAATCAACTGTGACTGAAAAAAAAAAAGATTTTCTTTTAAGTCTTCCTGTTTTACAGACAACAGAGTTAGAAATATTTTAAAATTGAAAGAAAATTATAACAAAATGTATTTTGCTTAGTTTAATATCCAATTTAAAGAGAAAATTATACTGTTTAAGGAAATTTCATGTTTAAATTACAAATATTTTTTTGTATGAATATCTCATCTTTAAGCCTAATGCAAGTATGAAGATGACAAGAATTATGTGGAGGATGGTAACCCTATCATGTAAAAAACATTTGACTCCTAAATGCAAAAAATAGTGTGGTTAAACAGTATAATTTAATAAGTTATTTTTAGATAGACAGGTGACTTGTGGCTTCTATTATAATATTTGCTTGTTATGTTCACTCATTTACCTAACAGGTACTATTTGTTTGTTGCAAAGCTACAAAGGGACTATCTCTGATGAAGCAGTAGCATTTTGAGTCACTCTTATAACACACCCATGTTCCCAAAGTGCAGAGAACAATTTTGTGGCAATAGGACATAAACTATGGACCCTATGGTTTACAGCTAAGCAAAACTACTACTAGGCCATACCTAGCCCCAGAGTATGTGAATGACCAAGAGAAATACAACAGTAAAGTGAATGACAACCAATAAACTACTGTATCAAAATAAATAAAATTCCATATCTAATACAACAGCATTAAAAAAAAATTATGTATGAAAAAATTCAAATGGTCTGAAAAGGGGGAGATAAAAAGTCCCTGAAATAGGACACATTTATACTTTTGTGTAGATTGTTGACTTTCATCACCAATAGTTGGTTGGCTTGACTACCATAATTTGTATGGTAACTGGAAACTGTCCAATGATGTACATGGGCTATTTTATTTTTAGAAATTTTGCTACCTCAGAAAGGGAATAAAAAAACACTCTAAAATAGAGAACATTTACACTTTCTTACAGACTTTTGACTTTAAATTTAAAGACAAAGTACTTAATCACTTATGAGTAAATTATTACTTTCCAAAAAGCAGGGTATATAATTAACATTCAATGAGGTCATGAGGGATTTAACTGCAAAAGAAAGAAGGAATGGGAACATTATCTAACAGTGTCCTTTATACAATTTTTGTTTCCTTAACAAGTCTCTTCAGCTAGTTTAATTAAAAAACTTTATTATCAATGTAAGTCAATAAAATTAGCATCAGGATTTAGTTTATAATTTCAAATTTTGAAATTATCTAAATTTTAATTTATTAATTTCAAATGTAGGTTTGTTTCTTGAGGTTAAGCACAAAGCTACACAATGGGTTATCTGTGCTGTGCTGTGCTCACCATGAATTGATATGATTACATTTTTAGCACTGTAAGTCTGCAGACTATTTATGTTTTAAAATGGATATTTGAAAGGTAAATTAATTTTCTTGTCAATAAAAACTTAGAGAAAAAAATTAGGATTAGATAACTACAGATGCACGTGTTCAAAGCTGCATGTGCATGTACATTAATGTAAGGAAAAGTTCCCATTGTAAAAGTAAAAGAATGTCATACAAACTGGACCATAAAAGTATAAATCTGAAATGAGATATACGTCAAAAGGTAAAATGTAATTCATTCAAAGAAGAACATTGTATTTGATAATTTTGATATCATCATATATTAAAGATTAAGCTACAGTTTGTGTTAGGGTGGAGAAAAATAACAGATAAAATAAACCTATACCTTAAAAACTTTTGATATTCATTTAGGGAGTTAGAGAGGTTAAGCAAATTAATAATGAAAACTGTATGATCAAAAGAAGTATTTTTCTTCTTAACATAAAAATCACCTTGCACTCAAGATTGACTCAGTAAAGGCTTTGGAAATTCACAGACAAATGCTTACTATAAAATACATTATAAAAAAACCTGATTCTTTGTGTACAATAGATTTTGCAATGTTTACTAAGTCTGTCATTGTGAAGATACACTTAGTACATATATAGTTTCATAGTTATGGGGTTGGACAAATTACATAAGCTTAAGACTTAAGATGACATCACGTTGGTATTGGAGGTCAGTAAAAATGTACCACTGGAATTTATTACATATTGAATAACTTTCTACTTTCAGTCAACATTTTTATGAAACATTTATTACACAGATCTTTTTTTATCATACCTAATGGTTTGACAATTGTAAGTATGTTCCATGATCATCACATACACGCAAGTCAGTTTTAGTAACATAGGTTGTATTACTATTTTTTTAAGTTCAAAAGTATCTATCACTGACTGATATTCATTATCTTGAAATAATCATTACAAACCAATGTAAAGAATCCTTTAAAATCACAAACTCAAAATCTTTGTCAAAACAAATCACCCTTACCATGACATGATAGTATGCTAGGACTAACAATGAACAAATGTTGTTTAATGCTCTCGCAAGTTCTTATAACTTGCTTAAACCAGTGACTTTGGAAAAAGCTGACTGTTGTGGACATAGTATGAGAGTACACTATGACTAACAAAGAATGTACATTTTTTTAATGTTTTTCTCACAAGTTCTTGTGGTTTTTTGAAACTACTGATTGTTGTGGAAGCTGAAAACATAGTCACCTAAACTAAATTTTGTTGGAACCAAACATTTCATACAAACCATTAAGTAGCTCACCTTAACTTGCATGCTAGCTCCTGCTACTTTCTCTTCCATAACCTCTATCTGCTCTAAAATTGACAAGTCCATACGTAGTGCTACTTCTGGTGACCACTGGTCTTCTTTATCAGGATCTGGAGCACCTCCTACTTTCTTAGATATTGAACTGTCTAAATCTGTGATTTCTAGATCTGTAACTGAAAATATAAAAAAAAAAATCAGCATAACGTTTGGATTATATGTTTTTAAGCTGAAGAGATCGAGGACAGATAAGTATGATCATGAGGTCTGGATACAGCTCACGAGAGTCTTAAGCTCAGAAGTGAGCCATGCAAACAACAGCCAAGGCAGTATGAATAATGGCCAGGAACAAAGGTACAGGTCCTTAACTAGGTCCATCAAAAGACAGCTGAGTCCAAGTTATGATGTAGAGTACACTGGCCAATAGGAATGTATTCTACCCTGATTCCATGTGAACAAGATGATGAGTTAATTATGTCATAACAATCAGGGCCAAACAAGAAACAAAACCAATGAGAAGGAAATAGTTTAAAAAGCTGCTTTTAGTTTGGGAACAGAGACAGAGCTCATAAAATCAGAGTCCAAAGTCACAAGGATCCAAGCCTAATCTTTCCACAACTACCAACTTACCAAGTCTCTTCTCTTTCATCAAGCTTATTTCTTTATGCTGTAGTATGTCTTAAATCACTTGAGAACTGTATTTTTAAGCCTAACTGCCACAACAGTAGGAAATAACACCTAAGGAGCACTACAGGGTTTTATTTGATGGGCTAACTTATTCCTGTTTTCACGAAAAATGATTATTGGATGAACATCCCAAAACTTTAAAGCTACTTTCTGTTTATGATACTTTCCCATTTTAATATCCAAACAAGAATGTTTTTTTTGTTTTAGCAGTATCTGAGGATCAGGCATGTAAAAATTAAGCTAAGTTCAGAATAGAACAAGGATCTGAATCACAGGTACTTGGTTAACAACAACAGAAGTTTGTCATACGCCTCCTTTTAGTAGTTCAGTACCAAAATTTTTCATTTTAATGTAACTAAGAATCTTGTTAATTGAACATATAGTGACTAGTAATTACAAATTGTTTCAATAAAGACATAAAAAAAAAGAATCACAGAATTTCTGAAAAAAAAAAAGGTTTCTCAAGTTTATTAATGATAAATGTATACATGATAAAATTAACTTCAGAAGTTGATGTTAAAAAAAAAGAGAGAGAGAGAAAAGCTGAAAAGGTGTTATCAAGTTAATGAAATTCACTAGGCAGATTTTTCCAAAATTACAGTTAAGAAGTATTGTCAAATCATTTGTTACATATTCTTTTAAATTTAAAGATAGTATGCCAAATAATGAGTTATTTGGTTGTTTCTAAACTACTATACCATAGGATGGAATATGTGGAGCCCACTGTGAAGTCTCTTTTCTTGTGTATATAAAAAAAGTCAATATTTGTGAATCCATCCACTATTACACATCACATGCCAACTGATTTTTACCACTGATATTAACTCTTAGTCACTTTAAGATTATAAGTACAATTTAAAAATGAACAAATACCTCAGGATAAGTGAATGTTTTCTTGCAACCTACCAAAGGCCTACTGTTAACAAGTAAGTTCCGTTTGTTCTGTCATTATTACAATGCAATGTAATAAGTTTCCATTTTCCTGATTTAAGAAATATTTTCTGAAGTGTGCAGTATTATAAATATACACACAAGACTTTAAAAACAAGAAGTTCTAACACATTAAACACTGCTTGTTTTCTCTAGAGGTATTTTAATGTTCTCTCACAATGTACAAATATATTTCACAATCTTGTGAAAAGTAAAGTATTTATATTTAAAATTTATATGACTTTTAACTGAGAAAAACCGTCATAACCATATAGTGATAAACTCCACAACAAAATCAAATACTAGCAATCCTGAGCAATAGTTCTGTTTGTATGTTTTGGTCTTTGTAGCGTTGTTGTTACAATTATTACATTGTATCCAACTGAAACAGTTTTCTTAAAAATTATCAACCAACCTTCATTTTGGCCCTGAGTAAAGGAACTACATGCATAACTGTAGTATTTTTGGAACTGTTTCTGAAGAAGCCTCTCTCTTATACCCCTTGGATGGAGAGCATTTAGCAAGGCTTTCAGCTGCTCCGAGTCAGTGATCCTCCACCAACCTTTACGATATTCTGTGTAGAACAAAAGCAAATCAGAATAAGAATTTATGTAATATAAACAAGGGTACAGAATATGTGTAGTTACAAGTGGAAAGCTAATTAAAGTATAAACATCCTCACAAGTGCATATTAATAACACTGAACAGTAACGGCAGTTCTTACAGAATATCTCATCTATATAGTCAAAACATTTAGTATAGTGACAAAAGCTCATTAAGTACCCTTACTGAAGTCTTGGCTAAAAAATAATTTGAAACAAAAAAAAACAGTTATGGTGATTATAAGTGTTAAGTGTAATGTAAAGTGACCAAGGCTGACAAAAGTACACAAGTCTTGAAACTTGACCAAGCCAAACTTTAGTTATTCTCTTTTTGTGGTTTCACACTTTTTATCTTGTCCAAATACAATAAGTAAATGAAATATTTAAGACTTCTCTATATTCTTAACCAGCATGATCTTTAAAAAATATGGATTGAAAACAAAAGGGTCACGGGATGTCTCAAACTCTTTGTTACCTCTGCTGCACACCATCCAAAAAATTCTTGCAAACAACAAGTGAAATTAAAGTTTGGCCTTGGTGTGACCTCAGACTTTCTGTAAAACTATTTTTATTTTTGGTCAACATCTTTCAATTACTAGTGTAAACTCTTACTCAAAAGCACATATCTCTTTACAATGTATGTATATAAATGACAGAAAACCTTCATTCTACTGTCTATTACCTAAGGAAATTTTATGTGAAAAACTGATGTTGGAGATGATTAGAAAAAGTTTCCAATTGTTAACTGAAAATCATTAAGTTACATTTCTAAGTAGAAAGAGGAAGAATTAAGTATTTTTTGCATTGTCACTTTAGAGAAACAGATAAATGACAAAAAAAGAAATACGAGCGTCCCAATGTTAATCAGGCTGAATAAACAGACAAAGAACTAACAAGAACCTGGATAAAATTCTTATAGTATAAAATCACACAAATTAACAAAGAGTGAATAAACGGGTAGCTCAAAGTTACTGATAAACATACAAGCATATTAAAAGTGATAATCTTGTGTTTAGGGGCATATTAACCAATAAGCTTTCAAGACTTGGGCCTAAAGCACAACAATTTGAGGGATGCATCTTTAGTGTGCTGGTGGGAATCAAAATAAATTTAATTTTGAATTTTTTTTTTTATAATAAAACAAATTTCTATTCATTTCATTGCATTTTGATTTATTGTTGTTCCCATGTTGGTAGATAATTTTCCTGGTGAGCCAATCGAGAAGGAAGGGGTGCATCTAAAACTTAGGGCCTAGAATGCCTGTTAATCTTGATGTGCTTCTGTTTGTCATATAATATTTTCCCTCTTGATACCATTTATGTTGATTATTATTAAACCTAGTTAACACTCCTATATTCAAAGCTATTGGTAAAATTTCTGAAAAAAATCAACTCTATAAGGCCTGGCATGGCCAGATGGTTAGGGCACTTGACTCGCAATCTGCGAGTCGCAGATTTGAATCCCCATCCCACCAAATATGCTCACCCTTTCAGCCTTGGGGCATTATAATGTGATGGTTCAATCTTACTATTTGTTGCTGAAATAGTAGCTCAAGAGTTGGTGGTGATGACTGGCTGCCTTCCCTCCTTTTACTGCTAAATTAGGGATGGCTAGCCCAAATAGCCCTTGTGAAGTTTTACGCAAAATTCAAAGACAAACAAACAAACAATGAACTCTTACTTCAATGGTTTGTTCAACACAAACTACTCTCAAAAATCTACACAAAGATAACAAGTGATCTCTTCAGTAATTATCTTATAAATAACAGCTAATACACATCCAAAAATATGAAAATTAGTTCCGAACATGCAATGAACTCCCAAAATCTTGTAACAACATACACCACACAATGACTACAGAAATTCAAATTTAGTTTCTTTGTAATTTGTTTTTGCTATTTATGTGAAAATTAACCACAGTTATCCAGGCTAAAAATGCAAAATAAAAAATTTGTAAACAATATGATTTATTTTCAGAAATTAGTTTAAAATTCGATGCGTACAATTACCACTAGGTATCTTAAAACACGTAAAAATGCATAAATTTATTTTACACTCTTTATAAGACAAAATGAATAACAATGTTGTAAAACAATACTTGATAACTAACAATATCAAATAACCAATTCACTTGTATTACCTGCAGGCAGTGGACGAGGCTTGGCATAGTGATTCAGTTCTCTTGTCATCATTTTCAAATAATCCTCAGAAGCCTGGTTTATAGAGTTGTTAGAGTGAAACCCATATGCCACAGAGCCAGGAGTAGAGCTTGGGGACGGAACTGTGGTAGGGGTAGCACAGAATGATGGGGGATTTACAGGTACTGTGCTTGTTGGTGTGGAGGTCAACTGAGATGAATCTATCGTGGTGGATATTGAAGTGTCGTGGTTATATGAGCTCATGGTAGAGGAACTTAGAAGTGGATTAGGCAATAGAGGGGGTGGAAGTCCATTAAGAAGTTCAAGCTGAAAGTTTGCAAGAGCCAGGGCTGCGGAAGGATAACTCTGGCTGTTGCTGGAACTAATGGGAGTGGATTGGCTCGGTAAGGACGATGCTGGAATACTTCCTAAAGAAGAGTTACTTGAAGCAGTCGCAAGCTTCTGTGAAGTACTGCTGGAACGTATTAATGATGCTTGCTTTGGCTGTGATTCTTCAGTTGGAGAGGTATTATCACATGTAATTCGGGGAAGAATGCTAAACCAGGGTTTCTCAACAGGCTGCTTTTCTGTCATATTTTTGAGGACTTCGGCTGAAAGAAACCCAGGGGATAATCCTAAAAGTGGACTAAATGTTGGACTCGATATAGCTGGTTCAGTTTTTGGGAGGTTAAAATAGCTGCCATTCAATTCCCTGCCATGTAACAAAGGTCCATTCATGAACATTGAGCCTGCAAGGATTGATGCAAAGAAGGGAGAATGAAGTAGCCAGTTTTGTTCAACATTAGATGAAGTTTTCGAAACAGCAAGCTTGCTAGAACTTATTACCTTCTCTGCTGCTTCTGTTTCCAGCAGAACAACAGCTTCTGAGGAGTTTTTAAGTTTTTGGGGTGATGGTTTTTCATTATTAACAATGTTTAAACATTTAGAAGTCTCCTGAACTTCTGTATTTAAAGATGTATTTTCACTAGAATCATCTGGAATTTGTTCTTTATTACCACTAGCGGTTATATCATTTTTGCCATCTACATTTATAGTTTTCACACATTTTTCACTTTCTGGATGTAAACACTCAGATGCTTGTTCCTTTTTATTTTTAGATAAGCTATCTGGTAAACATTCTTTGCCAGAGGTCACTTCAACACTGGTATTTTTTTCAGCATCAGTTTTTTGGGAATTATCAAGACTACTATCCACTTCCATTGCTTCTAATGTCACATGAGATACAGGTTCCTCTATTTGTTCTTGCACCACTTCTGTCTTTCTTGTATCTTCATAGTTCATTGTATCTTTACCTACCACTTCTTCTGGTTTTGTCTGATTTTCCTCTTTGATTAATACATCATGTTCTTCACTCTCTACATCTGATGATGATTCTATCCCTTCAACAAAAATGCCACCAGTAAATGGAAGAACCCAGTAATAGCGATGATACCGATCTTGTCCAAAAGTTGTGGCACGAAGGGCATGTACTGCCTTTGATAGTTTACCGCTTATCTGTGCTTGTTGCTGAAAATAGTAGAATCATGAAAGATTAGCAACAAACAATAGATACAATATTCATCCTTCACATAAAAAAAACTAATTGTGGCAAAATTACTATATTTACATAAATAAACAAAAACAGCTAAGCATATTATTAGGTTCCTTAGTGTAATAACGTCAAATAACAATGAAGTTATTTTTAACACTTCACTTTTAATCTAGTTTTCAATGAAGAATATTAAAAAAAAAGGAAGAAACTATATTAATATCAAAATTCTAGATACTGGTTTCAACAAACATCTCTGGTTGTTGTATCCTAGCTAGTACCATGAATGTAACAAATGCCTGTTTGCTTCAGATATTTATACAAAGCTAAACAAGAGCTATCTATGCTGCCTTTCTCTAATTTTGAACTGAAAAGGCTAGAGGAAATGCAGCTAGTCAACAGTACCTACTGCTAACTCGTGGGGTGCTCTAATTAAAAAGTGGGGTTTGACCATCACTATTACAAAATACCCATGGCCCCAAAGTGGACCACAGTTTTGCCGCAACAGACTATGAATAATGGATCCACAATGTGACACACAAACCACTAGGCCACCCCCGGCTCAATAAATATGATGGAAACTGTAATAATGTACACATCACATGGGAAACAGCTATTGCCTAAGTTATATGTGATGTATGCTTACCATTCTACAATATTTTGAACAACCCATCTTTCTTGTAAGAATACAATTACACCTCTCACCACAATCTACAAGCCAAAGGAAATCTCCACATACATAGAACAATTAAATTAAGCAAAGACTACAAATTATAGTAACGCTGTCTCGTCAAATATTTAGCACAGATTGATTTAATTTCTTTTACTGCACAGCCATTGCTTTTTAACTTATATTTTTAGAGAATTTCAAAATGTTTCATATTTACTGTAACCAGCATTTTTTGATATTGTTTAAAATAATCTAATTCATTGTAATTATAACAAAGCTGTAAAACTTGTGTTTATTTGGTTGTTGAATTTCGTTCAAAACTTCCCAAGTTGGTTGTCCATTATTTGAAGTAAGAGGCTAGAGGAAAGACTACTAGTCAACTCTTCCGATACTCTTTAACAAGGAATAGTGGGATTGACTATCACATTAACTAGCCATACTTGATAACTGTTTATTAAATATTATGTATACTATTACAAAAACCAGAAACTAAAAAGATTGTTTACCTTTGAAAGTTTATCAATTCTCTTCTTTAATTCTTCATTGGATATACCCAACTGCTCATCCTATTTTCAGAATGAAGTGTGAAAAACATATGTAAGATGGAGACAAGCACTTTTACATCGACTTATAATTACTTCATTATTAGAATCAAACAGAGGAGTGTAGAACATTTAGAGATATTGACTAAACACTCGAATTATGAATTTGTAAGCATTGCAAAAATATATTGATAGATAGTTTACAACTATCGAGTATACACGTACAGTTTTATATTAAGTACTTAAATCATAAAATATTACATGCTGTAAACATACATTGCTACATAATCTATAACTATATGACTCATGTGTGTGTACATGCAAACAGATGCCATATGGGTACTAAGATTCATGGTCACATTCATTTCTTTATTATGTAAAATTTTTAACTGGACATAAGATTAGTCCATGCTGATGGGAGCATGCAGAATAGAAAGTTTTTCATACATTACAAAGAATAGCAACAAAAGATACATAAAAAAAATGAATTACATTTTCACCGACAGAGAAATCTTAACAATGACCCCCCCCCAAAAAAGACCAAAAAACCCGAACGCCAAATATCTGATGAGATGGTGTTACTAGTTGAAACTAGTTCTCACATTTTGTCTTTTTTTTTCAATTCATTCCACCTTTTATGTGTGATCCTGTGTACTAACTATTTTATCAGAAGTAAAATTAACAAAAAAAATTCTAAGTACGGATAAAAAATGTCCCCCATTGTGGCAGCAGTAAGTTTACAGACCTACAATGCTAAAATCTGAGGTTCAATTTCTCACAGTGGACACAGCAAATAGCTCAATGGGCTTTGCTCTAAGTCAAACAAACTAGACTGAACAAAAAAATTCACAATCCAAACTTTAAGTTAAATTTTTTGATATATCATGAAGATTTTTTAACAAATATTATTTACAGCTTTTACTGATACAAGCAATTATTTTAAGTATACCAATTTTGGAACAACATCAAATAAGCATAATAGCCTAATGACTTGTTTAATTGTTTACTTAGAAACTAAACTACATATTTAGATGTTTTAGTAGACTGAAAATTTAAAAACTTCAAATGGTTTTTCAAAAGTTTCTCGAAACATTACTTTATTTGACAAGTCTATGATTTGGAAAAAATAGCAGTATTATTTAATACTCTTCTCTAAATACCAAACTATGTTTAGTGTTAATTTCGATAACAAATAGTAGGAAATTCAATATAACTGTCATCCCTTTTTATGATACATTCACGTTACTTCCAACATAATACATACAATTATGATTAA